GGCAGCAGGGCGCCAGCTCTGGCAGCGAGGAGCCACCATGGCGACGGAACTCATGGAAAAGTGAAAATGCCACAGCCCACTGACCACACAGCAACAAAGTAGGACCAGTAAACGCATGTACTCCTTTCCGGGTGCATGTGTGTGCGTGTATGTTGGTGAATAAGGTAGAAAACTAGTTTTTTTTTTAGTAAAACTGAGGTCCAGTTTTGCAGTTTGTATCAGAAATGCTTTCCCACATCTGAGCCATGCCTTTCAGGAAATAGACCAGAGTTGATTTAACTACACCCTGTTGTTAGGAAAAAGAACCTTTCCTGTTTCTATCACAGTAAAATTGCTATTCTGTGCATCTTTGAAAATATATTTTTATTGATTTCAGAAAGAAGGGAGGGGGGAGAGAGAGATGGAAACCTCAATGATGAGAGAGAATCATTGATCACTGCCTCCTGCATGCCCTACACTGGGGACCGAGTCCACAACCCTGGCATGTGCCCTTGACTGGAATCAAACCTGAGACCTTTCAGTCCGCAGGCCTACGCTCTATCCACTGAGCCTAACCAGCTAGGGCTGTTACTTATTTTTCAAACTGATCTAAAAGGAGAAGGGTTAAAACAGGAGGAGTTAAATTACTTTCTAAATGTTCCGTTTATTCAATGTAGCTGTAAGATAAAAACAAACTAATAACATGTAACTGAAGCAATCACTTTTAGCTTACTTATAATGGCAGCATTGTTCGTTTCTTTGCGAAAACGAAACTTTCTCAGTTTTTCCACTAAATCTTCAGCAACATCACAAACCACCAAAGACTCACTCTAGAAAAGAAAGAAAAAAAAATCACGTGTAAAATGCCATGATTTCAATATACGTATATGTTAAAAGTTATAAAACCTGTACCTTAAAAGGTATATTGACATCTACAAATGTCACAATTATGTGAAAGCATTAACATGAAACATGAACACTTAAAGAGCTTTTGAACTTACCAACCTTTGTATCTACATTAATTACACACCATCTGTCCATTTTATATGTACACTTTAACTTTCTCTTTAGCTAATAAATATCTCAAAGAACTAAACACATATTAATGTGCAATTTTATCAGATCTATAGAGCAAGGGAAGAATGTGGGGAAAGTACAGAAAGAAGAGGATAATCATCTTATTGTGCTTATAATTAACTAGAGGCCCGGTGCACAAAATTTGTGCACTGTCACAGCGGAATATCAGACATCCAATCGTTTCCACTTTAAGGTTGTGGCTTGTTTATTTTTAAAAATAATCTGTTTTGAGAGGTTCTTATTTCCTACCCAACTGCAGACCTGGTCCCCCTCAACTGCCCTCCCCTACAGGGCCGGTTACCCCCAATTGCCCTCCCCTGCCGGCCTGGTCGCCCTCAACTGCCCTCCCCTGCCAGCCTGTTGCCCCCAACTGCCCTCCCCTGCCGGCCATCTTGTGGTGGCCATCTTTGACCACATGGGGTGGCCATCGTGGGCGAGGGCATGATGGTCAATTTGCATAGTACCTCTTTATTATATAGGATAAAACCTGGATTTATTTTTGTGTCTCACAACTATGAAAATATCTAAATAAACAAAAATATGAAAAACAAACACTAAGAATAAAGGCCAATAACATTTATATCTTAATTGACTATGGGACTTTAAAAAAGAGTTATTAAGAATTATGCAAGCAAAACCAGATTTAAACAATTATGAAAAATTATTAGAGACTCTTGAGAAAAAGGCAAGGAAATGATCAAAAGCATTCTTCTTTCAGTGGTGCAAATGTATCAATGATTGCAATCATGAGGATGGAAATCTTTCTTTTCTTTTTTTAATGTTTAAAACTTTGAACACATAAAAGTAGAGACTAGAATAGTGGGACCCTATGCACTATCACTCAGCTTTAACTGTTATCAGCACATAGCCAATCTTATTTCATCCAACACCCTCACTGTCCCCTGGCCTAGCACACAGCAAAGGCCAGAAATCATTTCAACTGTTTTTCAGTATGCATCATTAAAATAACAGTATGTGGCATTAAAATATAAAGGCAATAACATTATCTCACCTAAAAAAAATCTAACAGTAATTCCAGTCTTAAATATTCAGGAAGAGTTTAAATTTCCCTCACTATTTTAAGGTGTTTTTTAAGTTATTGAGGATGAATGGCCAGGCTATTTTCAGTCCCCTGAGAAGTTAAAGGAGATGCATGGGTCACTAAAAATGACCAGGTGACCAAGAAGATAATCTCCAACACTGTGTAGGTAGCAGAGGGGGAAGTAGAATACTGCACTCTGTTTTGTGATATTAGCTGTTACTTTTGTTTTGAAATATGTTTTTATTGCTTTCATGTTGGTTTAAAAAGAGACCGACATATTTTAGTCTCTTTTCATGTATAGGTTCCCCTCCTCCCCCACTCCTCTTTTAAGAAAATCAAACCATGCTAGAACAATACTAAAACATATGTGTCATTATAATCCAAAAGTATTAGGGCTTCCAATTTTAAATTACAATAAAAATCTACTAAAAGCCTATTTTTTTTTACCCTGTGTTGGGTAAATTAAAAGCAAAGGTTAAAGCAGGAGATAGTTATCCATTTTAAAAATTGTACTTTAAATTCAGAACACTGGTAATACATAAGGTGTGACATACCATAGGATATGCTATTACACAGTTAGAAAGTACATCCCACCCATAGGTACTATCCAATCAGGTTCCTTAGGAGTCATGTGTCCACCCTTTTAGTTCTCTTTAGAGAAAGAGATGCTAAATCATATGGAGCTTCCTGAAGGTAGTATCCAACCCTAATCTTATTGTTTTTCTACCTTCCAAGAAAGGTATAAAAGTCAGAAAACAACAATTTCCATTCTCTTCTCAACTAAAGGTAGAACCCACTAGTGAAACTAATAAATATTTTAGATTTTTGTTTAGGCAAGGAGCAATTTATAAGACTTATTTATCTTCCAGCGCTGATACTAAGAGCTGCTGGTGCAATCCTGACATTCTAAGTATCAGAAACCAAGTGTGTATGTGGGGGGAGGCATGTTGTGATGTAATTTATGTAGTTGTTTTTTTGTTTTTGCATTTACACCCCTCCCAATAACATAAGGCCAATAATTTCTTCCTACAAGTAAAAAGACCAATTCTAATTGCTTATAGTTAGTAGAAGAATTTAAGAATGAGTATAACACTCTGAAAACTTTATATGGTAATATGTAAGGTGTAATATACCATAGGCTATACCATTATACACCACATAACTATATTTTAGTCAATAACTGACCGCATATACAAGGGTAATCCCACAAGAGTAATGACAGGCAGTGTGACTCAAGCACAGAGAAGGAACAAAAACATGGTACAAAAGGAGGTCGGTAGGAGCTGGACCACATAAAGCCCAGGGGAACATATTAAGTATTTTGGTCTCTATGAGCAAAGGGAAGCCACTAAGGCAAGCATGTCAAACTCTCGGCCCACAACGAATATTTTTGCGGCCCAGCCAATATAATGGTATGTAAGAAACGTTTTAATAAAAATTTTGTAACTTATTTTTATAATATTGTTATACATAATTGTTAATAATGAACTACAACATTCACTAATGACTGATGACTATAATAATGTTGCATTCATTTCCCCTACGCGTCTTACATGCAGGCGCGGTTTAAGAAAAAATATTAATTATTATTAATGTTCTATTATTTTATGTAAACGATTACTCATTTATTTCACCCCTTTGTATTCAGCATGTTTCTATCGAAATAAAGCTATGTTTCTATGAAAATTGAAGCTTTTGGTTTTTTTTGCAGCCCACATAAACGTAAACCTTGTTTATTTGGCCCATGTTAGCCTTTGAGTTTGACATGCTTGCACTAAGGTGTTTTAAGCAGGGTGGTAACAGAAAACATGATCAGGTTTGCATGCAGGAAACAGGCAGAGAGCCAAGATGAATAGAACAAGATTAGTTAACTGACAAGTCTAGGTCAGGTGAGAGATGAAAAGCCGCTTAGACAGGCTGATGAGGATAAAGAAAGTAGGTGAGCCCCAGCCAATTTGGCTCAGCAGATAGAGCATTGGCCTGTGGACCGAAGGGCCCCAGGTTCAATTATAGCCAAGGGCACATGCCTGGGTTCCGGACTCAGTCCTGAGTGGGGGGCATGCAGGAGGTAGCCGATCAATGATTCTCTCTCATCATTGATGTTTCTATCTCTCTCTCCCTCTCCCT